AGATTCTGATTGGTTGATTGCTTTATGTATTCTGCAGAAATCTGTGCTTCGACTTTAAGGGCCTATCCAGACAAACTTGCATAAATGCAAATACTCCAGAGGTTAAACGATTTAAAAAATGTATATAAAATTTATATAAATTTATTTACAAAAAAGAAATTTGTAGACACTAAACAACAAAGAAATAATAATTTATTCATAATTTGGTTAGCAAAAAAATACAATAACTAAATAACTTAGCAAATAACATTTATTTTAGTGATAAATTTATTTATTTTTAAATTTATTAGAGCTACGTAATAAATTTTGTCCGGTTTTTGATGCAAATTTGCTGTCAAGTTTTGTCACCAAGTTTTGTTCGGTATTTGGCATCAAATTATGTATGCAGGTTTTGCTGCATATCTGCTAGCTATTTGTTAACATTATTTGATAAAACAAATTTTGTCGCAAATTTGTACTGTTTCTGCCGACAAAACTTGTAGCAAGTGTTTGGCATTATTTGTCCAAACAGATTTGGCTATCTGGGCTGGGCTAGCGCTATTAAGATCACGTAAAAATCACTTTGAAATTTTTAAACGGAAATTTCTACTTTTTATTGCATTTTCTTGTAGTCGATTTTGAGAGCTTTTCAAAACATTATAATAAAGTTATTTTTTATTAAGTACTTTCCGAATTATAAGGCTTGAAGGTTACAGTAGAGTGAGAGAGAAAGAATTGCGTTGTCTTATTCTCTTTAAAAAAGTATTAAATAAAAAGTAGGAATTTCCGTTTAAAAATTTCAAAGTGATTTTTTCGTGGCCTTAATAGCGCTAGCCAAGGTCATACTGATATTTTTGTCTAATGCGCCACTTAAAATCCTACTTTTGTATGGAACATTTTCTTCTATCTTGCATATTTTCGGAGTCATTCAAGGATCCTGACCTTTTTTGAATACTCTTATATAAATATATATTTTGTGAATCTTCCTGGTAGTGTATTCTAACAGTATTTAATGATCCAACATGTGTTAAATGTAAACACACACATTAGTTTTGAAATTTATCATTGTTCATTAGAAACAACATGAGTTTTTTTGCAAAGCGTTCAAACAATCTATTTTTATTATTTTTGAAACGTTTCCCAAGCTTTCCTGGGTAAATAAAGTTTTTTTCATGAATGTATAAACTTTCAAAATGATAACTGCATAGGTTTTAAAGGTGTTTGTTCACGGCCAAAATTGTCCATTTTTAGACTCCTTCCTTCAATGTCAGTTCAGTACAGTTTAATCTACTTTTTCACAAATCGTGTTATTCTAATAATATATCTAAACTAAATAATTTTTTGAAGCTATTGAAAAATTTGTATTCAAATTTTATTTTTTATCTAACTTCAGATTCTTTTGATAGTTTGTGCGTAAAGTAACTATATTTGTAGCAAATCTTATACATTTATTATTTACAGAGATCTATAATTCCTCTAAAATTATTAATAATTGCGTTAATATTAATAATATTTTTATATTTACATGTACTTTATATTTACATGGTGTTTATATTTTGTCGCATGCCAGTGCGTTTTGATTTAATTACAGCCTGTAAAAAACATAAATATATTTGTCGTATATTTTTAAAGGAAATTTTATATAAACAATTAAAAAATAAGGAAGATGACAAGTCAACGCCAGATGTTATTCGCATATGTTACAATTTTCTTAATAAATTAATACAGACGTTTCAGTCATGATATTGTCATCTTCATATGAGCTGCTATCTCAGAAATAACATATTTGTCTGTTTGTTTAAAACACCATAAATTAAAAAAAAAATTGATTTAATCTATTTTTTTGCAGCTATACTCTTAGCAATATTTTTAAAGTTATAATTAATTAATTATTAATGTTTTTGTTTGCTTAATTGAAAATGACTATAAAAGATATAAGTAATTTGACGTGATCAAAATATTACTCGATTCCAATGCAACTATTGTACAATAGTAAGCAATGACAGGTCTAAACGTGTTTAATGCTGAGAATGCAGTAATCTCAGCGATGCTGAGCATTACTACATTCATGCATTGCCAGACACTGACCGGTTCTGAAGAGACTTCGTAAAAGCGTGCCAAGCCAACAAGGTTTTACGATGAGATCTCGATGCAGTGGCATAAGACGAGAATCAGGAATAAGAATAAGAAAATAAAATCTAATTGAAGAAAAACTATTTTATAAACATAAAGAATCTCTTTATGGCTATAAACTAAAAAAAAATAAATAAGTAACTAGTGGTAAAACAAAATAAACCTTTGAAAGATTGTGTTGAAATAATGCAGATAATAATTTAATCTATCAGTATTATATGTTCCAATTTTATTTGCAAAAGTATGATTGCAACATTCCAGCTATTGTATTATTGCACGAAATGTAATCTCATAGCTTGGGGGCGTTACGGAGATTTCAAGGAATTACAGGAAGGACTCTCCAGGTCGTTCCACGTATCACGCGCCTCTCTCGTACATACAAGTTTCCTCTTTGCGTCTCTGAAACTGGTCCCGGCAGACGGCGAATATCAAAGTCAGGTACGAGCATTAGTGTTTGCTGGCCTTGTAGCTTTACATGCGATGCGAAATATTTCAGAAATAGAAGCGCTCAATTTCCGCAGCAAGTTTTATCTTGTATTTCGTATGCGAGGTGGAAAAATTATTCATAAAATGAATAACAGAAACATTTTCAGTATAAGAACAAATAGAGCGGCTCTTTATTTTTCTTTCTATCACAGTCGAGGCTACGAAATACAAATACATATCGCACATTCCGAACGATAATTAGAACATTAGTGTATATGTTGCAAACGTAAAAGTTTAAAACCGACTAAATATCGTCGCAAGGAAAGAAAGCATTATTTTACAATTTAATAAAATAACAGTGATTCCTGAGAATATATATATTTATAAGAGAATATGTATATATATATATATATATATATATATATATATATATATATATATATATATATA